TGAGGGACAGAGTAGCAGGGGTAGGGGTCTGGGGACCTTGCTTTCAGGGAACATCTAGGTCAATTGGCATAACAAAGCTTATTAAGAAAATATTCTGCATCCGACTTTGGTGAGTGGCATCTGGGGTCTTAAAACCTTGCAAGAAGCCATCTAAGATGCATCAATTGGTCCCAACCACCTGGAGTAAAGGAGAATGAAGAACACCAAAGACACAAGGAAAGTAGTAGCTCAAGAGACAGAAAGGGCCACATAAACCAGAGACTTCATCAGCCTGAGACCAAAAGAACTAGATGGTGCCTGGCTACCACCAATGATTGCCCTGACATGGAACACAACAGAGAGTCCCTGATGGAGCAGCAGAAAGATGAGGTGCAGAATTCAAATTCTAGTAAGAAGACCAGACTTAATGGTCTGACTGAGACTGGAGGTACCCTGGAAAGCATGGCCGCTGGATTCTCTATCAGCCCAGAACTAAAACAATTTCTGAGGCCAACTCTTCAGACAGGGATTGGACTGGACTGTGGAACATAAAGTGATACTCAGGAGGAGTGTGCCTCTTAGCTCAAGTAGATACAAGAGACTAAACGGGCAGCTTCTGTCCAGAGTTGAGACGGGAAGGCAGAGAGGGCTAAGAGGTGGTTGAATGGACATGGGAATCAAGGGTGGAAAGGAGGAGCGTGCTGTCACAGTATGGGGAGACCAATTAGAGTCACATAACTGTGTATGTATAAATTTTTGTATGGGAAAAAATACTTTAAGAAATGTACGTAGTAACTCAATTTAATTTCTATTTTGATCCCCCGTTTCCTAAAAGATGGAAATTCAGGATTTCTCCATTTTCCCCATGAATATGTTTATGTTTTGTGGTCTTAGAGTGCCAAGGATTTAGGGGGTTGTGAAGGATAAGTATTATGGATTGAATGTGTCCCCCCAAAATATGTTTGTAAATCCTAACCCCTATATGTGTGCTTATAATCCCATCTGGGAAAGGATTTTCTTTGTTATGTCACTGAGGGAATATTACTATAGGGTATGTGTTTTAAATAAATTTCTTTTGAGATATAAAAGAGCAGATTAAGCAAGCAAGCAGAGATGAGGGTAGATGCTACACCACATGAGGATCACCAAGGAACCAAGGAACAGGAGCTGAGAAGAGACAAGGATCTTTCCCCAGAACCAACAAAGGAAAGTCTTCCCCTAGAGCCAGCACCCTGAATTTGGAATTCTAGACTCCTAAATTGTGAGAAAATAAATTTGTTTGTTAAAGTCACCCACTTGTGGTATTTCTATTATAGCAGCGCAAGACAACTAAGACAGTTGGGTAACATCTGATCATCTGTGTCATCTATTTATGATGGCATCTGCTGAGATGTTTTAATTACCATTTGGTCCTGGGGAATTGATCCGTACAACTGCTGCTGAGACATGTCTCACTTAAATCCAGTGGCTCCCTTTGCTACTTCCATACTATTCATGGGTTGATGGGAATAATTTTCCTGATCTCTCCCATGGGGAAGTACAAGAAATTGTGTGAGTGTTCAGGGCTCCATCTTCTTAAGACATGGCATTTAGTTATTCTGTGAGGGTTTCTTGCTTCCTTTGGTTTCTATCCAGAAACTGGAGCATATGTCCTATAAAACTAATGACCTCTCTTGGGCTTTTCCCATGGAATAGTCTAAATCGCCCCTCTATCTAAGGCCATCAGCAATACGTAAGCTTATATTGCTTCTCCTTTGACTTTCTGCCTAGGAAACGTTAGTTGGGGAATAATGAGGAGGAAGCCTTGCTCTTAATCATGAGGTCTCCACCCAAATCTTTACTCTATACCATGAATCCTTTTTGTTTCTCTAGGGGACTAAATTTTTAAAACTCATAAGCTACAAAGAACTCCCTTTTCCTCATATTTCTCTCTTCCCTGAGGCAATGACCTAGCTGTCTGGAAAGAAGGGTGGAGGAAAGGACTATCTGAGAAAAAGAATTAGTTACTATTTCAAAAATATTTCCCACCACACTTGGAATACCCTTTGGGAAATGTCGATTTAAAGAACAAAGGGTTAAAAGCTGATCAACAAAAGGATGAGTGTTGCAGTGGGGCTGTCTTGAGTTTTGATTACTATTTGTGGTAGATTATTGTAATAAACCAAAAAACCCAAACCCATTGCCCTTGAGTAGTTTTGGACTTCTAGAGACACTAAAGGACAGAGTAGAACTGCCCCATAGGGTTTCCAAGGCTATAATCTTTACGGAAGGAGACTGCCATATCTTTCTCCTGTGGACTGGCTGGCGGATTTGAACCGCCAACCTTTCAGTTAGCCAGTGAGTGCTTAACTGTACCACCAGGGCTCCTCAGATTACAATAATAGTCCTCAATAAATAATGAGTGGCCCCTTGTCCATAACTCATTGTGTTTGTAGAGGTTTGTGCAGTCCCCTCCTACTTTGATGCTAGGCTTGACCATGTGACTTGCTTTGACTGATGGGATATTAGCAAACATGAACCAAGTGGAGGCTTGAAGAGTGTTTGTCTCTCTTGCTTGTGGGAACAATTCTTTTACTATATTAAGACGTCTAGGTAGGGTAGCTTGTTGGAGACGTGTGGACCAACTGGGAGCCTGCATTAACCCATGGACACATAAAACTAGCCCTAGTCAAGCTACCAGATGACTGTAGGTGCTTGAGAGATGCCAGGTGAGACCAGGAGAACTGCCGAGCTGAGATTAGACCAAAGTGTTTATACACAGACTCAGGAGGCAAATAAAATGGTCTAGGCCACTAAGTTTTGGGGTTATTTTTATTGCAACAATACATAAATAATGAGAAATAAATACTAACATGTAAATAACAATATATAAATAACAATACATAAATAACAGTATAGTCGGAATGGAAAGATAGAGATTTTGTAGAAAGATTTTCTCGAATATCAGTATATGGGATCAAGGAAAAGGTAAGCTCAAAGATACCTATGAAGAGTTAGGGAGCTCATTTTTCATTCAGTGTTCCAAAACAAATGATGTAAAGTGGATACCTTAGTTTGAGATGCCTTCAACAAATGATGTAAAGTGGGTACCTTAGTTTGAGATGCCTTCAACAAATGATGTAAAGTGGGTACCTTAGTCTGAGATGCCTTCAACAAATGATGTAAAGTGGATGCCTTAGTTTGAGACGCCTTCTGTTCATTCCAGGGGTCCGAACTGGTTTGAAATAGTTCAGTTTTGGCTGATGGAGACAAGGCAGGGCTTTGAACCGATTTGAAATGCTTCAGTCACGGATGACGGAAACAAGGAAAGCATAAGCGTTGCATAGCAGCCAAATGTCTTGCCTAGGATTTTTCCCGAGTAGGAAACAGGCACCCGTGCCCCCGTCAAAAATGGCCTTGGACTGGATTATTGGCAGGACGGTAAAGAGCGATACACATACAAAGCAGGGCCGTCAATCGCTGTCTTTGAGGTGGGCACGTCTGCCTATTTCCTACTCCGGAAAAGATCCAAGGCAAGAGATTTCGTTGCTATGCAACGCATAGGCTTTCCTTGTTTCCGTCATCCGTGACTGAAGCATTTCAAATCGGTTGGAAGCCCCAGTTCATTCTTGTGCCAAGATTTGCTTATTTCTAGACAAGAGCTCAGGATTTAATCCAAATTCAGCAAACTTCTGCAAACATATTTAAAAAAAAAAAAAAAAGGCTCTCAGTGGTATCTTGTAGAAAGGAGTGATACAGAAGAGTCCAATATGATTATGAATGTTCTAATCTCCAGTGACTCAGAAAATGGTGAACAGGTAGTGGATACACATTAGAAGGTGCCTTGGCATAATCCGACAGTTGTGTTTTTTTTGTAAATCACTATAACTCTCACAGGCTTGGAATCAAGAGGCTGCTCCGTTGTCACTTCTGAATGAAAAGCAAAAAGTTGTCTTGGCATAAACATATTCTCAGACACCAGACTCATCGCAATTCCTGATAAAACGGATTTTCTTAAAGCACTGAAATAAATGTCATAAAACCAAGAAATAGCAAAATTATGAAGGGACTGATGATACATGATATAGATTCTAAATCTAAAATCCATCTTGTAAAATGGACTGTTGGTAGTTAGCTATGATTACCAGTTGTCTTTGAGTCAATTCTGACTCATGGTGACACCATGTGTTGTTGAGTAGAACTGTGCTCCATAGGGTTTTCATGATGGTGAACTTTTGGAAGCAGATCGCCAGGCCTTTTTTTGAAGGCATCTCCAAGGTGTTTGAACCATCAACTTTTTGGTTAGTAGCAGAGTGCTTAATCGTTTGCACTACCCAGGGACTCCTTAGCTATGATTAGCTAGACTCAAGTAATACTAACTACTAACTCTGGTCTTGGGAAACCTCTACTAGCCCATAAATGTCTTTTTTCACAAATTTATTTTACACCATTATTTTATTTAATCCTCACAAAAAATTCTAAGATTTAGATATCATTTTTATCTGAATTTTAGAGATTAAGAATTTGAGGCTGAGATGGAAAACCTGGCCAAAGATAGCAGAGCTGGTAATGGTAGTGCAGGGGTTCATACTCTGGAAAGGCTGTTTGACATCAAGTCCTTTTTTCTCAATAATGCTGCTTCTTTTCAAACTGCTTCAAAGAGCATTGGTTGCCTGAAGTGCCTCAGGGACCACTGACCAAGAAGAGGGGGAGAAATAAAGCAGGTAGTGCTCTTGGCCCCTCATTTTGGTTTCAACCGGAGCACATCTAGTATATATATCAGGGTTCCATTTAAAGTTTTGTTTGAAAAAGTCTCCAAACCATTGTATCATATCATGCTCTCTCCTGATGCTGTTACAAGCTGCGCTAGCAACTTCTTGAGATCATGGACTTTGTCTTATCTTTTCCTTGACCTCACAACAGTATGACACCTCCCCCCATTCAGGAGCCACCCTTCTGAAGAAGGAGCAGGAGGAGCCCTGGGACCAGCTTCATCATTCTTGGGTCATGCTCTGGGCTCCAGGACAGCTGCTGTCTCAGCATCACCCATGACTCCTACCAGGCTCACTGTTTCTTCCAAAAGCCATTAAATTATTCACAGTACCTGAAGCCTTCTCTGAATCATCACAATTCATTTTTGTAATCATTGAGCTTTCCTCCAAGAGGGAAGGGATATAGTCTCCAAATATTTTGAAGCAATTTTCAATAAGAAATTGTACAAGAGATATCTGTAACACAAAAAGGCAAAAATGGGCTTTTTTTTTTTTTGTCATATGGCAAAGTTACAAGCCACATTTCATATATACACCTTGAATCTAACAAAAATGTGAAAGAATTCTAAGAAAAATTCAGAGATGATATGAAAACATATAAACCAGTTTTCTCTAAGAAACTGTGATACTTTCCAGAGTAGGTGGGACACAGACTTTAAAATACTTTTAATCAGTGAAATAAAGTTGTAATTTGTGTCCTTGGCTTAATGGCTAATATTTTTATATCAATGGCTACACAGTTAAAATTAAGATACTTTTTAAATAACCCATATAATGTGTTGGGGGTGAAGATGTTATTCAATTTATAAAGCATCCAATACATGAAAATTCATGAAATTTACTTCTTAAGTGAAGAAGTATCTTAAACTTGAGAAGTGGAATTTCTCTGTGGGTCTACTGTGAATGCATGAGGTACCTGGGGAGAAAATATGTTTGTCCGACTGCTGTCCCTATCCATGCATTGTCTTGCCTTAGGCTTGCTCTCAGGGTGTGCTTCGGGGAAAATTGTGATCTCATTAGGCACCTTGTGGCTCCCTTAGAATGTTCTGGAATATTTTACTAGTTTCTTCACTCAGGTAGCAGAAATGAAATAGTAGTCAAGTATTTCTCTGAATGGGCCATTGTTGGCAGAAGTCCAATGTATGTGGAGCCAAGGGTGCTCATACTGCCTGGGCCCCTGGGATGTGCATGGGCACAACTGCAAACAATGCCTAGACGAGCTGGGTGCTGTCACCATTGCCATATTTCAGATGAGGAAACTGGCTTGGGAACTTTGCCCAAGGTTACACATCCAGCAATGGTAAGGCTCAGAGTTAAAGCTTGGCTTGTCTCACTCCAAACTGCTTCAAAGAGCATATCACACCACTTTTTTTTATCTCTCTATGGTTTAGTGGGAGCCCCAGTGGCAATGGTTGAGAGCTCAGCTGCTAACCAAAAGGTCAACACTTCGAATCCACCAGCTACCCATTGGAAATCCTATGGGACAGTTCTACTCTGTCCTATAGGGTCACTATGAGTCGGAATTGACTCGATGGCAACAGGTTTTGGTTTATGGTTTCGTGAGTCTAGTATTTATTCTCTTGGATGGAAAGGAAGAAGTTACTCGGCTGTTCCCAATTTCCCACTTAACAACCCACCTTCTCATACCCTACCATGATAAGATAAATGACTCTGCATCCCAGAAGAGTGCAATTAAAGTATATACTAAAAAAAAATTGTCCTTTAGATAATACCCTGAATTTCAGGTTTGAAGTGAGGACTCAGGCCCCAAAGGCAAAAAATGAGAAATCTCGTTACCTTTTTTCTCAATTCAATTTTTATTCGTGGTCTGCACAAAATAGAAGACCAAAGAATGCCTGCAGCTGTACACACTGATAAATTATAAGCTGTCATCTGATTGAATGCAGAATGTTGTTCAATGTTGTGTAACACTCCAAAAAGGTATTGCAGGAGAACGACATTGGCTTTTGGCATTTGGTCTAAAAGCCTTTAAATACAGAAAAACACTCTTAAAACAGGTCATTTCATTTAAGAACTTGTAAATATAGAGAAGGAGAATAAGACATTTTTTTTTTTTGTACACCATGTCCACAACCCAATGAAGAAGGTAAAACATGTAGAACTCTGTCTTATAAAAAATGCTGCCTGAAATATTTACCAAAACCACTACCATGTGTTTAAGTTGGGCAAAACTTATTAATGTATAATTTAATATAAATTTATTAAAAACCCTGTAATATTCCAGAATGTGCTCAACTAAAACTCACAAAAATTACTGATGAAATTAAACAGCAATATTTAAAGTGCTCCCTTTAATTTCAAGGTAACAATGAAAAACTGCTGTCTGATGGTGAGAGTCCAAATCTTATCTAGTAAAACTTATAACTACATTCTGAGATCATATGCTTCGATCTGCTAGCATCGAAGGTCAACATTATTTCAAATCATTCTCACTGGCACGACTTTCTCAGACAAGTCTACGATAGTATAATTTCCAATTTTGTAATTTTCATGACTGATATGTGTTTTTATTTTTTTAATCATGCATTGAAACTGTTTCTGAGTTGATATTCAGAGTTTTACTTTTTTATTTTCAACAAAATGCTGCAACTTGGAGAAAATATAGTCACTAGAAATGGCACCAGCAACAGTACTAGACTGACAATACACCCTTAATGCAATGTTAAGTACACAGGTTTTAGACTCTGATCAGCAATCACCTATAGGATGTGATGCTTGATGTACCTGAATGGTCTCCTCTAAACTGTAATAGCAGTACGGTTGGTAACATGAGCAACAGAGAGCTACAGGACTTGGTGCTCAACCTACTCAGATGGTCTTCTCTAAACTGTCATGGGAATGGAGGTGGTATTTTGTTCCATGGCCTTGGTTTTTGGTGATTGTCACAGTTGTTCCTTAGTTCCTAACTCTTCAATGCAAATTCTATGTTCTATTGATAAAAAGGGGTTTATCAAAAGTATTGTGAAGGTGATAATTCACAATATTTGGAAGTTGCTCAAAATTTTTTTTTCTGTGCTCAATAGACATATACAAATAGAACATACTATTGGAATTCTTGGGTTTTTCACAGAAGTAAAGCTTAGGAAATTGAGTTACTGGATACTTTTTTCCTATTCGGCTATATTGCACATAATTTCCATGATGAGTCCTGCCAGAAATTTCTGCTTGCATGGGTATAGACCTAGAATTCTTTGTGATTAGGTCTTGACTTTGCAATTTGAGCTTCCTTTTTCTCTGAGTCTTGCAGGGAGTTAATTATCACTCTACCATGTTCCCACAGTACATTCGAGTGTCCCTTTTATAGAGCTGATTATACTTCAGCTTATCTATTTCTGTCTTCCACCAGACTCTGAGTTTCTTGAGGTAAGGGATTAGGTTCTTCACCTCTGTGTGCCTAGAGACTAACAAAGCTCCAGGCATGAACACATACAGAAATGCTTCATCAGATTTAATTCCTGAGCGTGATAAGACTTTCTCTGGTTAGTTAAATACTGGAGAAAGTTAAGGCCATAACACTGTCAGAGTTGGCCTCTATCACCGCACTTGGACTAACAGTTTCATCTCCTATAATTTCAAATATTCAGAAGGTGTACGATGCTCAACAATCCCATATTAGTAACGTTAGAAGAAAAACAATAACTTGATGACAGCAGTAAGGTATACATCTATTTTTAAACTGGCCTCCACGGGTATGACGTCATGAAACCCTTTGGTAGTAGTCATTATCTAGTAGGAAAAGTTGTAAAATAGAAGTTATTTTTTTTATGAGAGTGTGTTGGTTGTATTTTTGAGGCATAGTCAGAGTAGAGTGATTACTGCATCATTACCTCTGGACTGCAGTCATTTTCTCCTCCTCATTCCCTTGAACAATAACAGCAAGCCATTTATCATAGAGATCAGATGAAAATATACTGTCTTGGATGTTTTGAAAAAAATCCTCAAATAGATGAAAAATAACGTTATTCTTATGGCAAACATGTATTAGACAAATAACAGACAAAACATTTGGTTGAAAAATTCAGTTTGGTCCCCACTTCCTTCACAGCTACCCACAATATGACATCCACAGTACTTGCCTCCAACTCTTTGCTGACTTGTACACCCATAAGCAGGTGCGTGGATTTTCTTCAACTAAAACTAGTGGCATAAAAGCAGAGTCTGGGCTGTGGTGGGAATGACGATAAAGTTGCTTTCTATGTTCTGAAACCTTCTCTTTATGTAAAGTGTAGCCAACTGGTACAAACTGACAAGGCCTGGTGATAAACATCCTAAATCCTATTATTTTCTTGAAAATAAATACACATAAACATTTTGATTGTTTATTTTAGCCATGGTGTTCTTAACTCCTGGCAAGAAAACTTCTGAAACAAATACCACACAAACAAACACAGACACACACTCACACACACACACACATTTAGAGAGGACTGAGTCTTCTGACTTGAGGTATGTGCGCTTCTTGGGAGAAACCTCCTCTAATAAAAGCGTCATCTTTCATCTCTTTAATGGTTGTGGTTGTTTCTGTGTGCCCTTGAGTTGATTTTGACTCACAGTGACCCTATATGACAGAGTAGAACTGCCCATAGGGCTTCCTAGGCTATAATCTTTATGGGAGCAGATGGCCAGATCTTTTCTCCCAAGGAGCCGCTGGTGCGTTCAAACCACTGACCTTTTGGTTAGCAGCCGAGTGCTTAACCATTGCGCCACCAGAGCCCCTTAACTTTAAAGGTGAGGATAGGATATCATACTTTCCTTGAGTTTTAGTTTTTTTGAGAAGTAAAATGTTCCAAAAATAAAAACATAATCAAAATTTAGATACAGCAAAACTTTAGACCCCTAAGTACCACAGCTAGAGGCACGCATAGGCAAGCTTCCTAAGTGGTGACCTGGAAAGTCTGTCTTAATATCATACAGTTTGGCCTATTAAAATTCATTAAGCTTAATTTTCCTGTGACTTGTTTCTAAGGAAAGGAATACAGCAAAAATGATTGGATGTCACTTCCTTGACGAGGTTACAAAAGACTGACATATTGACCCATCTACCACAGGTTCCTAATTATGTTAAGCTTCACTCTGATTGCCTACAACACAGAAAACCAAAGTTGGCTGGTTAACAAGACTCTTTCACTCCAAATGTGTGAAGTGTTCTCTCTGTTAAATAGTAAAGAGTATTTGGGAAGGACAAGAGGATGGGTAGCAGATGGGCAAAAGGAATATAAATAAATGCTACCAAAAATAAAAAAGGCCCTAAATCCTAGAGTGACCTGAAGAATCCCTCTTCCATCTCCCTGCTTTCACAAGTCCATTAGGACCAAGCATGAATAAAAACACTTTAGCCAGTCTTATTCAGAAGGCCCTACACCTTCTCCTCAGTCTGACAAAGACAAGCGAAGTTGTCTCCTCTCTGGTCATATCAGACATCCCAACCATCACTCAGAAAGACAGAAAGGAAGCTAGGGTCTTTGGGAGGTGCTGGATGCTATGCCCCAAAAAGGATGCCCCTCTGGCTCCAAAGGGCTCTTGTATCTTTCAGGATGTCTGGAGGTCCCTTAATCATGGCCAGAGAGATAGATCCAGATGAGCACAATGAAGAGGATCTAGAGCAGTTCCCCAAGTCCCTCCCACCCTTTACTCATTAAAGCAATGGTGATCCTACTTCCTCTGCATCCTCCCAACAGGGCACTGCCTCAACAGAAGCATGCCCCTTCTTCCATTACCAGTGCCCTGTAAGGATTCCAAGGAGACCAATCACCAAACTCACAAAATAACAATACCGCAAAAATTCAGCTTAGGCTGGAGGTATATGCAGAATTCCACATACTGTCTCAGTGGAAGTCTCACAGTGAGGGGCCACAGCTTTTTGATCTGGGGGCTGGTTAATATATGCTAATCTACTTATTAAAAGCTAGAGAACAGGGAGGGTGATAGAGAAAAGCAGATACATACTAATGCTTGAATATCCGTTGCTATATGTTTTCATATGGACCAAGACAGATTTACAAGAAACATGAATTTACTAATGCATATATGATGGCCCATTTCCCAAGACAGATTTGATTGCAAATAAACTTATGAAGTAATATCAAATGGGCACCTGACCACTTGACTTGGACTCAACATTTTGCTTAAAGCTGGTTTTTGATGTAGGTTCTATTTTTCAGAAATGTGAGGCATCTCTAAGGATATAAGGAGCAAGGTGTTTCAGAAGAGCAGGTTACCATGTAAGTACCATGAGTGACATTTTAAGCATAACAAGTATTAACAAAGGATGCCAAAAGTGGTCAAGATGAAAGAAGGCCCAATGGTAGAATCATTTCCAATGCCATGTTTAAAGTGAAAGGCATTAAGAGAAAGGGAAGGAATGATGATAAAACCAAATAGAGCTTTTGGTGGATTGACTGAACATTTTTTGACTCATTATAAGGTAAATATTTGCTTATTATGGTAAACTTTTGTAACTATTTTCAAAAGTTTAATACGAAATTGCTTTTGGAAACTTTGCCATCACTTGCAGTGAGGAACTCTTCAAAAGTAGGATACTTGTGTATGTGTAAGTGGGTACTTTGAAATTTTTATTTATTTACTTGTTTTTGCATGTTGCATTCAGACAGGGAAGGCGCTGTGCTTTTAATACCCAAGGCAGTTTGCTTAACTTTCCGAAATGTTTTTCAGCTTTTGAATGTATTATACCTACTGTGGTTCTCTGTCAATCACAATGAAGGAAACCAGTCATATTTCTTTAAAGCTACACTGTGTGAAGATGATGCTAGAGCTTTCCTTACCTTTAAGACAGATGCTATGACAAAAACAGATTCATCGTCCAAGTTCACTTTTTCTCCAGAATTTAGTTTCTCCTTTAGGGCTCCACATGCTTTTACACTGCCTGAAATTCTTAAGATGCCATCTGTGAGAGGCCCTTTTTGATTAATAAAGAAAAACATATCCTAGGGGGAAAGAAAAGAAAAAAACAATATACAGCATTTCTTGCACACAGGCCAGAGCACAGGCTTGCCCTTGTTGGCAGCCAGAGCTATGCCATGTGAGAGTATGGGCTGAAGCTGGAACCAAAGTAAATTCTTCAGGTTTTTGTTTTTTTTGGCGTTTCTCAATATATTTTCTATTCATTGGTCCACTCTACATTCATACACTAAAACACTTGTTTTAATCACATTTTCCTTTTCAGTGAATTTACACTTTTCAATCAAACTTCTCTATTTTAAGGCATCTGTTAAATCAGCCTTTCCTCACTATAATACGGATGCTTTTCTCCAAATGTGGAAATCTGGCCATACTCTTTTCTCATTGGCTTATTCCCCTTTAAGCAACTTGGATTTCCTATCCTCTTTCAAAATCAGGCTTGAAAAACCTTCCCCTCCAGAAAGCCTTCCCCAGTTAAATACTCTTATCACTTTTTCATTTCGCTATTCTCTATCTTCACGTGTCCTACTTGCAGTCAGGGGCCTAGCTACGGGAAATAGCACCTCGGTCAATTAGTGTTAAATTGCTGAATAATCTCTTACCGCTGGCGATGAAAACTGTGATAGTCAATAGAAACTGCCCATTGGCGCCCCCTCAAGAGGCACCCGGGGCACGCTGGCAGGGTGCAGGGCACGCACTGTACCTGCCCAACACCCCCACCCCCAGACAGGCCTCTGCTTGCAGTGTAGAAAGATAATAGGTGTTGGAGTCAGGTAATCTGAGGGATTTAAATCTATTATAGCACCTATTCACTGTGTGCCCTTGGGGAAGTATAGTAGGTACTTTTACTAAAGCTTTTGTTTTTCCCATTTGTGAAATGGGGATGACGGTAATCTTAAACCAAACCAAATCTGTTGCTGTGAGTCAATGCCGACTCACAGAAGCCCTATAGGACACAGTAGAACTACCCAATAGGGTTTCCAAGGAGTGGCTGGTGGACTCGAACTCTCCACCTATTGGTTAGCAGCTGAGCTCTTAACCACTGTGGCACCAGGGCCCTGTGATGATGATCATAACTACTCCTAACTTTGCTGTGAAAGTTGCAGGGTCTGGGGAGTACCTAGCATGTACTTAAGACAATGATTTTCCTCACATCGAGCATGTGAAGCACTAGTATAGAACTTGGAAAGATATTGGATACTCAATAAATGTTACCACTGATGATTTAATACACTGATTTGAGACAACACAAGCCAGACCTGGGGCTTTCATTTGACTCATTCTATTAGGATTAAAAGATTAATATGTGCCAGAAGATGAGTCTTCAGTCTTATGCTTGAGCACTTGAAATAAAATCAAATGCCATCTGAGATATTTTGCATTGTTAGACTGAGTAGTCTCAGCTGAAGAAGCAACTAAGGGAGAGTTGAGAGTAGTGTGGAGTTTAAGGAAGGAGGTGAAAGAAGAATGTGAGGGTTAAGGTGCAGCCTCTGCTTAACAGACTGGTACACACACACACAGCACATTGTGACTTATCTGAGCAGGCATATGTGGGTCTTTGCTGAAACCAGTGGAATGGACAAGATGAGCTTTTTCTCTTGTGTCTACCTTGTGATTCTGCAATAACTAAGTCAAATTTTTATTCACTGAAATAATATAACAAAGCTTCTCAGCCAAAGCCAGGGGCTATCTGGTGCTTTCTCCATTTGGGGACACATTTGGATGGGAACACTTGATCTTCCAGGGCTTTCCCTCCTCAGGAGAACCTCAAATACCCATTGGTGCAGAATTGATTCCAACTCATAGTGACCCACAGAAAAGGAGCTCCGACAGGAGCAGGCAGGTTGTCATTCTCACAAACATCTCTGAGAGGAACTCCAAAGAGCCTCCCTGGCTTGGGGGGTGGTGGAGCCACGCACAAGTTGTCCTGGCAAGTGCTAGAGCGCCGCCAAAAGGCCCAGTTTATCTTAGGCCATTTCCTTTCAACCATCTTCTGGCCTGCATCTAAGGAAGAAGTGAGATTATTAGGAGTAGTAGTTTAATTCACTTACACTTATTTCCACTGTTTTTATTTGTAGAGCATGTTGTTTGCTAGGGCTAGAAGACAGAGAAATGGAGTCATTTATTGTGTAGAAATTCCCACATTCTGGGATAGGTGGACTGTATCTTGTGGTGTTAATGTGTTCTTTTTCCCCTTATTGTGTAAACGGACAGTTAAATCTAGAAGTTTGATCAGACTCAGGTTCGATTCTTTTGGTGGTGATACTTCCTAAATGATGCTATCTACTCCTGTTGCATTGCTTCATGAGGCTTTTAATGTTTGGTTGTACAAGTTTCCTGATGTTAAATATGATCAGTGAGGAATCAGATCCCATTCGAAAAGCTAAAAAATGGTATACAAATCAAGCAGAGTTTGATAATCATACACCTTTATGGTAAGTCTCCCCACCCTCTAGATTTTCTGTTTGGCTTTCTGAGTGCCCAACTATTGTGAACTCTTTCTTATCAAAAGAATCTGCCCTTCATGACTCAACCTCCCTGACCCCACTTCTTGGGCAGCCTATAACTCCTTCACCCTGAGGGGCCACAACCCTCAGGCAGTTCCACCGATGATGTGCCTCCACTCTCTGGTCAGGGTCCTTGGGAATTGATCTTTAAATGCCAGCTGTGTGGTAACCAAGGTGGCCTTGTTTCTTGTAACACCCAACCAGAGATGACTTTTAGCTGCCCAACAGTCCCTGTCAAAGAAATGCTGAACAAGAAGAGCTTTTCTAAGAAGAGGTGGTCGGCAATGAAAACCTGAGTTCAAAGAGGTCTTTTCTACTGCTCCGCTATGAATGTTCTTGACCTGCTTATAAGCTATGCTGAAAGAGTCAACAGAGGAGCCCAGTTGCGGGACAATAAACAGAGGAGCAACATTTCACCAAATATCCTTAAATACCCATCCATTTGGCTTTTCTAGGATGTGGCAAGTGTAACCTTGGGTGTAACACTTGTGGTGCTGGATCAGAGGGTTCTGCCATTTACTTGAATGAGTTACTTAATCTCTTTGAACCTCAGGTTCCTCAACTTTAACACGACACCTCATGGAACTGAGTACTAATATGGATGAAATGTATAATGTACTCCTCAGCACAAGGCACAGTTCATACCAGTCTTAATGAGAGTGACTTTCCTTACTCAGAGGGCGCAAGGCAACTAAGACATCGGTCTCCTCCTCCAAAACCAGACCTCATCCCCCTTCTCCATTAAGCTTAGCAGCCTCTAGAAGGTATGCAGTCTTCTAGAATTGCCACCACTTGACCTAACTTAGACTCTTTCTTCCTGCCCTAACATTCAAACCCCATCATTTTAAAAGTCTGAAGGAAAACAAACACATTCTTCAATTCAGAAATTAATCCCTATACATTCAGCAATCTCACCATGTGCAAAAGTTGAACATACAGGTTAATATACAGGTGGAGTAGTTGTACTAGCCTGGTTTCTCTACCCTTGACCTGATTTTATTATCTCTAAAACTACCCAAATGTACTGTTATTTAGCTTTAATACTTCTTAAGAACAATGTTCTATCTCTTGATATAAAGCCATATATAAAGCTATTCTATGACATAAACACAGGGCAAAGTAGAAACTGAGTTCTATACTTTCTCAAAAATACTTTCAGCCTTACCTGGACCTTTTGTGATGTACATTATTTGGTGTGAGAGTTCATGTTGCATCTGTGACCCGTGAAAATACATGCTATTTGCATGAAAAATATGGGTTGATTCAACTTTACAGAAACCTAGCCTTTCTTAAACAGTCCTGGCAAGATTTGAGTGGTGCTTCGTCATGCTTGTAATTAGGGTACGAATATTAAAAATAAAATTTGTGAAACTTTGTGTTTATAGAATAACAATCATGACAATAAAAATACTTTAAGTAGGAATTCTATTCTGGCTATAGTATTCTCCAAATTAATAATATATTTTCTTCAGAAAAAGAAATATTGATGGGAGAATACAGGCAGGGTAGGGAAAAGAATGGTAAGAAGGAAGATTAAAAAGCCCTCAACCATAAACATTCAGTCCTGTTCCAGTCTAGACCTAGGTCAGAAGCACACATGGAAAGTGAGCTCGGTCCATGTGGCTTGCTGTGGAGGTAGAACTGAGAGGCCACTTCAGCCCAAGCTCCGAAGAGATTCCAATTCAACTCGGTAACTCTTCTGCTCCACTAAAGTTCTTCCATTCCAGGTGTGTCTAAGCTAGGTAGGCATAAGTCACCTTCTGTTCTGGCCTAGATCCTGACAGAAGCCTTGGGATGGGGAAAACATGAGTTTCCAGGCCTTAAGAAGCTCATATTCTAATGAGACACACAAATATGTACACATAAAATTAAAATATGAATGAAGGGCTGTGGGGATACAGAGAAGAGAGCAACTACCCAGAGGAATGAAACCAAGTTTCCTAGAAGTGAGGTGGGTCTTGACATTTCTCTAAGTCTGATTCTTGGTGAAGACTGGATCCTTGCCTACACTGCCCTTGTCCCAGGCATGGAGAATCAACTCTGTGTCATGATTTTGTTTTCAGGATTGGAGGCACGGGCTGAGAGAGAAGGCACTTGCAGGAAGGGAGAGGACTCTCCTTTCTGCTCCTGGCCCTTCGCTGGGCACCTGGGCTTCAGGATGAACTGCCCTTCCATCTCTGGGAATGGCTGCTCCAGTAAGAAGGGCTCCTGGAGGGTGGAAGGAGATGTGGAGCCCTTTGGTCCATGGGGCAGAAGTCCAGTGGCTTGAAGACAGCTCATTTTAATTCCATAGGGATGTTCATGTCCTATATAGAGAAAAATGTAAATACAGATTTAGGCCAACTGGTGATGGGTGTGATCAAACCTACCCTACGGCATGCATGTACACCACACTGGCACGCTGCAGTTCTCCTGGGCTTGTGGAATAAAGAAGGTTGTGTCTCTTGCGGGAGCACCATGTGCACTCTCATGGGGGACACCCTGCATAAAGCAGGTGCCCAAGCAAAAGTGTTTAA